CTTCAGTATATATATATATATATATATATATATATATATATATATATATATATATATATATATATATGCGTCATCAATCGTTGTGACTATCATTATTGCCATTGTGGTGTGTGCTATTGATACCGACAGATATTAGTAGTATGTACCATTAATGGAAAGTGAAATGTCTGTCGCAGAAGGTTAAGAAGATCAAAGAAAGGAGAACAAGAACAAAGGATGATTGCTGTAGAGATGAAGGAACAGTGAAGTCTGAGACAATTGCTTGACATTTTGCAAATGAAGTACTTACTGTATGGTTCTCAGATTTCACTGTCATTCTGTAAATTTCTGTTCGAATACATTTGATTGTCCCCACTTGTATTCTCGTTCATTACACTATTACAACTGTTATTATTAGTATTAACAACATATTGTAGTGTGAACCGTTCACACTGAATACTTTCTAAAAGGATATTAATCTTCTGATGTTATTTTGTGTTATAGTTGGAGACAGAGATAAATTTTAAAATCCACATTTATTTTTATTGAAGACTATCCAAGTAGATTTATTAAAATCTGACTAGTTGATGAAATCTCAACGCAAACTTATAATATTCAATAAGAACAGTAGTGACTTTTTGCTCAGAAAAGTAACTAGTCAGTGCCCTTGTATAGCTAGTAAATATTTTTGGTAAGATTTTATTTTAGCAAATAAGATTAATTTTATAAAAAACATTTGTTCTCAAAGATGATAATGCTTACCGTATAGTAGATTTGTGATTAATTTGTATATTTAAGTATCTACTGATTTGTGTTGTCGATTACAATGCATAAATGTTAACTAATATCATTTGGCTACATTAACAAAGTGACACAATGAATCTGAAGGAGGATGAGATTGGATATATTCTAAAATGAATCAGTGGTCTGTATGAATTACTGTTGAACATTCAGTGTAACATATTTTGAAGTGTTATTTAACTTGGTAACCATAACTATGTTTATCCGTCCCAAATTTTTATTTATGATTTAAGAAACTGAATCATATCTACCAGTTTCTCTTTAGAAACATTAGACAACTGATTTCGCTGCAGTTTTATAACTAGTTAATAATCCGTTCAACCACCTGATTTAACAATAATTATACACTCACAAGTAATGAATTTCTGGGTGAATTTCCTAAATTTTAGTTCATCCATAAGATAGATAATTGCTCTATAATTAATAAATCCAAAACCATCTGAACTCTACCGATCATCACTTCAAACTAGAACTTCAGGAATTCATCTTCAAGTTGGTTACTAGTAAGTAATGAAAGAGTTTTATGGATACGGGCTTAATTTGTAGGTGGTATGAATCGACATTGTGTATTGAGGAATCCGATACTAGGACGAAATGCCTGTTCGGTGCATCGTGGTTATCAGGGCAGCACCAGGCAAGATCAAGGTGAAACAAATGTTGTTTTCGAAATACCCAAAAAGGTTATCTACCTCTTTAACATAAAATTTTGTACCATAAAAGAAGAATAAAATTCGCCTAAATAAAAATTCATCTTAAAATAACATTCGTGATTTATATTTCAATGATAGGATATACAAAATTATACTCTATGATTTTCATTATTTAAAATAAACTCTCAGCACGAAGTAACGTCATCGGCGGGAAAAAAAGAGTGGGGAAATTTCTTTCATGCTTGCCTAATATTTTCTAGTATTATTTACTGTCTAATGATTAGAAGATTAAGCTCGAAAAAGATACCAAATTTCTAGGCGTGTGTATAACCCTATTGAGTCAATGAATAGAAATTCAATCGTTCATATTCTGTATGTTTATTCAATTTACAATTTGATCAGATTCTTATGTATCGTCAACGTTTGGGTAAATTGTCTGCACATCTGGATATTCCTTTAAAAAAAGAACAAACTATTTTAGTACTACTAATTGATAAGTATGTTATTTCGCATAACATGTTTTTCTTTCTGAATGTATTTTCAATTTTATTTAATGTTCTTTAAAACTTTTATAATATTAAATGGATAGAAAAATTGTACTTTTTCCTTGTTATCACAATTCTATTCATTTTTGTCAGTTTGATTACATGAATTGATTTTGATAAGTGTATTATGATAACTTGTTGAACATAAACATCCCATTGAACAGTGAGTCGTTTAAAAAACAGTAAGCACTGTTTTGGTCTAGTTCTAGACTATTCAACAAACTGAATTCAGGGATAAATAAGAGATGTTGTACAGAATTTTCGGGTTTCGAGATACTATATAGTTATTGAATTAGGATTCAGTAGTTCATATTTATCCCTTCACTTAATTTGCGATATAGCGTAATCCTCAGTCAAAAGCTTGAGTTTGCTACTGCCTTATTATCGATACGGTTTGAAATTAGGACAAGATGGCTGTCCATTGTTCTTTGTCTGGTAGCGATTCATAGTGGGAACTACCTTCTAACCGATAGCTAATAAATATCAATGTTGAATAATATAAAAATTAACATATTCAATATCGTTTGTTTGATTATTGCGAAGAATTTTACACAGATATGGAATATCACGACACCATTCTGAAATTCGTTGAAATTGTCCCCACTCATTGTATATCTAAAGAAACGTTTTGAAACGGCAGTCACTTGTCATTCGTCATCATCCACAAACACTCTCATAAGTTGCATTTCGATGATATCTTTCCCATTCCGTAGTTTATTTCATTTGCTAATTCTAATATATTCAACTGTTGTTTTTCTGAAGAGTATACACGGATGAAAGTATACCTACCAATGTGATGGCTTTGGTCGACTTCAGCAGTAATTATATTTCAGATGGGTTGTAAGTTATTTTATCAGAGTGGTTTATTGCATGAAGCATTTAACATGCATAAGTATTCAGTCATAATAAATCGGGAGCGAGGAAAGTTTTTTGAAGCATTCACAAATATTGGAAAGCAGTTGTCCACAAGTTTGGGAAGCCAGCCCTTATAATTGTATTGAATAAGAGGATTACAATTTTAGAAACATTTACCACCATGAAATCATTAATTTACATTGTTTTTTCTTGTTCAGTTTATATGATCTAAAAGTCTAAATGTTTGACATATTCAGTGGTTCCCTGAATTTAAATGTGACCAAAGCGTTATACCGTGGGTGACAGTTGTTTTACTTCGTAAAAAAGTGTATATATGTATATGTTATCATTTTATATGGCATTGTATGATATTGCAAATTTACACTGATCGTTTTTTTAAATGTTATTAGTTAATATATGTTCCCATAGCTGATACTAATTGTGTTCCATGTCAAATGTATTTTGTCTAGAGGTACATTGGTTGAGAATAGATCGACAGTTCTCTCTATTTCACACTTACGTAATTCACTATTTTTACCAAAGTAAATATTTTTAGTAGATGTACACTAACATCGTTTGAAACCAAATGCTTTGAAAAAACTAATTCTAACATATTCATCTTGACGTAAATCCAATAACCTTTGTTTTAGTAGACTGTTAACCCTCGAGACGATGAACCAATCCGTATATCATAACTTTTGGTTATTACTACAGACACCCTAAAAGAGACTTCTCTGAGTTAATCTCAATTTTTAAGAATATAAGCTAATCACTTAGTGCCTGATTTATATCATGATCATCGGAGAACTGCGATAGTACCATATTTGACTCTTTTGTTCTCCCCATACTGATATACTTCTGAGGAAACAATTCTTTAACAGTATTTCTTGAACACAGTAAAATTAGTTTCGTAAATTTTATCAATAAAGGATGAGGATCCATTTTTGTTTTTAACATTAGTGAAAACAAACTATCTGACTATACGATTATGAGGTTATTATGAAACATTTTGGGATAATTTACTCTAGGTGATTTTCAAGTTTGAGAAAATATCACGAAAATTTGAGATTAAAACAATGTACATTCATCATTAGACTTTATTTCTGAATTTTACCTAATTCAATGTGTTACATAAACTTTTTATTAGAAGTGAATAAAACCAGAAAAAATATTGAATAATGAGGCATCACTGAATCGAAAATCATATAGTTAACAAATATTTGCAACATTACATCCCGAAAAAAAGTTTTTTTTAATTGTGCTATTTATCTATGCTAAGCAAAACAATTATTATAGGTTGATCTTTAACATAAATCATTGTTAGCCTGATAACCATTGGAAATAATGAGAACAAGAGAAATCTGCAACTGAAGGATCGTGTATAATTATATATTTGTAATGTCTGAGTGAGTAGACGACTTAGTTTTGTACTTTTCGCAATTTAGTGTAAGTTAATTCTCAATAGAATAAATAAATAGCCGAATCGAATTAGTGTAATTTCACAAAATACAGAAAAACAAAGTATAACATCTAGAATAATCAAAATAAGTCCGATCAAGTCATTGTCATGTTGTTCTAGCCAAGGTGATTCTGTGTTGAGACATTCATTGATTTTAAATAGAGCAAGAACAAACATTGATTGATGTTATTGAATGAACCATGTTGAAATGTGGTACTGATATATTTTTGTCAACAAAACAGATCCATTCATCAAGAAAATCTTTGTTAGGAGTTGGTTTTATAAATATTTGTGGTGTGGTTCTCATATCATTCTTCTTTATTTACAATATACTAATAATTAGAAATCCATTTGTAGATTCATTTAACGATTAAATTAACGTAACTTTCTAAGTTGAATTATTCTCTGATTATGTTAATGATAAAGTAGGGTTTGAAACAAGTGCAGATCACTGAAATTTTTTTTGCGGTGTATAGAAACAACTTTGTGTGCAAGATTCCGAAACTTATAAGTCAACTTGCCCTGTATGTCTTATTACCCAACTCTTTCAGTATGCTTCTAACTTTATCAGTGATTAGTTGTGTACAGCTTGATAACATGCTTACAGTGAATACGTTGTAACTTACTAACGTATCTCCCTCTATTTCTGATTCACTGTTGATTAAAATCTTGTCCCGCTACATCAAAACTTCCTTATTTTCAAATTTTTAGAGCTAAAATTTATGAATTTCGTTGTCATGCCCCGGAAAACTTGAAATCTCGCGAACTGACTGAATTAACAGTTGATGATATATGTAAAGAAGAATTAAGTCAATCAGTGATACCATCGGAAGATTTATCATCAAATTATAATATCGGTGTATTCGATCAGTACCAACCAACTGGACAAGACAATAGTAATCAACAACAAAATGGCGATTTCGGTGAAACATCTGGTCGTCATGATTTGAAACCAGTCAATGCAGATGGTAATGAACAACAATTGGCCACTGCTGGTAGTAGTGGTATTTCCACTGAAATGATCATTGTAATTTGTGTTGTCATAGCATGTATTATTGTTATCATTATAAGTTTAATTGTTTATTCGTCACGTAAACGTGCACAACGTAGAAAACAACAAGAGAGAAATCTTGGTGTTTCACATAAAACAAATTCATATTGGTAAGTCAATGTGAGTTTTTTGTCTATGTGTATTTTAAGAGATATATGTTCGAGGAATTTTAAAAAAATTTCCCAAAGTTTTAGAGCTATTATTAGTTACCACAACAACTGATATTGATGATAAAGTTGTCATTTTTTTCTATCAGCATAACTAAACCATTCGAATGGTAGAATAGTTTCTTTAGCGTAGTACTCGAATGATGGGCGGTTGAACTAAGTGAATTTACTTACTCGAATCAATTCACATTTCCTGTAATAAGTACCTACTCATACGATAATATGGAAACTAGTGTAAGGAATTCACCCTGGATTATCAGCGATCAGAATTTTTGAATTATACATCATCCTTATCGAATGAATGATGATTTTTGCGATCCAGCTGTATAGAATATATGGCTTTGTCTTTTAAAGCACCAGAAACAAGTATTGAGTTTCCGTGCAAACATCACCGAGGAAGTATATTCAATTGATATGCTTCAGTCAAGCTGAAATGCATGTTGTAAATTTCACTGATAGTCACTATCCAAAATATCATCTGACAGTTAGCTTGTTTGTTTGCCTAGTAGGAGTTAACTTTTCATTTAATAATTTACCAGTTTGGTACACAGTAATGTACCATTTGGAATGTTCACTGTCCAATTTCGAGTTGATTACGAAAATCAAGACATCGGTTTACATATTTTTAGGGCGGACGTGAATATATATATAGCGCTTTGATGCCAGATTTTTATTTGGATTATAATCACATAATTATACCAATACTACTATAATTACTACCAGTACTGATTATCAACCAGTTCATTACACGTTTAATCTATGTAAGAAAATAACTATTATTATTTTGGTTAATAAATGTAAGCAGAATTTTTCTTGTCGGCATTTTACTTTATTCTTTTCCTCTCATTCTGTGTATTAACTAAGTTGACTGACTTAAATTCTTACATACAATTCCTGATTATATGCGCGTCTTGTGTGTATGTGTTTGTGTGGGGTACACTAGATGCTTAGTGCATATTTATTCATTTTTTTATCTTACGTCACTCTTCTTTTTATTTTAATTATTTTGACTTGTATTGTCGCAGTTATATTTCTTTGCCAAATTCATCAGACAGAACTTCAATCTTTTACTCTGTACATAGGTTAATATGAAAAATTTGCTGTTTTGTCATTATTTGTTTTTCAGTTGTGCATAATTTGTGAGCATATGGTAGTGTGTATGTGTCAATGTGGTTGTATGTTCATTTATTAATTTTTCATTTTCTGACGATACTTAGTCATAATAGCAGCATCTTCGTGTACATATGGAAATGCAATGAGTAGGTGGTATGCTATTCTTACTTAGTGATTGCATATATACATTTTGTAAACACATCTGTGAGAGTGTCAGTTATTTATCTGTTAACCTCAACACACTATCTAAGATACTTTTAAATGATCTGTAGAAAAAGTTTATGTACATTTCGTGTTTATGATTCGATTATTTCATTTTCTTTATTGTTTTTTTTTTAATATTTACTTGTGGAATGTTTGTCATTCTATTTACATTGCACATGTATGTACCACTTCATGCTCTGTGTGTTTGTTTGCTCCTTTGCATGTATTTATATGTATTTATACATACAAGTGAGTTCTGTACACCATTAACACAAAACCAACGTATACATTTGTTCTAGCTTCTCTTCAGTGTGAAGCGTGCTTATAAATAACTCGGCTTAGTAACAGTGGTTTATAAGATTTCTATTTCACTGAAAAAACAATTACTAATATATTGAAAGTCAGTGAACGTATAGACGTGTTGCTGGTTAATAATATTTTTGATCTTATCCTGCTCAGTCAGTCAGTCAGTCAGTAACAACGTAGAACTTCGTACGTACGTACATCAGTTGGAGTTACCACACTACATTAGCACAGAGATGTAGTGGCCGATTCAAGTCCCGTAGTGGTAGAGGTAATAAGAGTATGAGCAGTAATCGGGAAAATTAGGGTTTGGAGATGTTATTTAAAGAGTATAAGACAGTGAAATAAATTTGGGAAGAGAAACAAAAAGAGACAAGGAGGAATAAGGAGACCAAAATTTAGGAGAACACAAAGAGTGGATGCACCTGCGCCATCGCAAACGATTTTGAGCCATGTCGTTCAGGGTCTCTAACCATCGGTTGCTATCATCTCGTGGTCCCCAACCAGGAAGTCTACACCTACCGACATGACTCAGTCCACTTGTCAGTGACTTCATGGACTTGTGCCATGTTTTGGTCTTGCCGTAACAAGTGTCAAAGCCATCTCAACTGACGAAGTTTCACTACGTCATCAATTGATTTGCCATCCTTACCTAATACCCGTTTCCTAACAACTGCATTACTTACTCGATGGTCCCACGATATACGAGCAATATTTCGAAGACACCTATGATCAAATACTAGTAACCTACGGATATCCTCTACTCTTACCGGCCATGTTTCACTGCCATAAAGTAGGACGGAACGAACTGCTACGCAGTAAACACGTCCTTTGGTTGATATACGGATATCTCGCCTATGCCATAAATGACGCAAGTTAGCAAAAGCTAGTCGAGCCTTCTGTATGCGTGCTGAGATTTCGTCACACACTAAACCACAAGGGCTGATGAGACTTTTAAGATAAGTGAAGCGGTCGACACACTCAACTACTTCACTCCCTATCACTAGTTCGGGTGTCAATGCAACCCAATCCTGAAGCAACATTTTGCATTTCGAGGGGGAGAATCGCATCCCGAACATGCTTGCATTGTTGCTTAGAGTGGTCAGAAGACTCTGCATTTTGTCAGCGTCTTCACCAAATATAACGAAGTCGTCTGCATATTCTACGTCAACAAGTGAACCTCCCGGTATAAGTTCAACCCCTGTAAATTTAGATGAGGAGAGTGTTATCTCTAAAAGTACGTCGACCACAAAGTTGAACAACAATGGGGAGGGTGGATAGCCCTGACGAACACCACTTGAGGTAATCAATTCTGATGACAGTTTGCCATAAGCTCTCACTCTACCAGTTGTATTCGAGTAGAGAGCCTTTATAAGGTTAATGTACTTCTTTGGTACTCCTTTCAGTGACAAACACTGCCATAGAACCTCACGATCAACAGAGTCGAATGCCGCCTTAAGGTCGAGAAATACTACCATTGTGGGGCGTCTGAACGTGTGTCTGTGTTCTAGAACCTGACGTAGTGTGAATATCTGATCTATACAACCACGTCCAGGTCGAAAACCAGCCTGATTCTATCTAGTCTGTTCTTCACGAGCTTTGGTTAGGCGTCGAAGTATTATTGAAGCTAATATTTAAGACACTATATTAGTCAAGCTGATTCCTCTGTGATTGTCACAAGAGGACTTTTGTCCTATCTTATAGACTAGCACAATCAGTGATTGAGACCAGTCAGATGGGATTACGTCCAGTTCCCAAATTCTACCTAAGACCTCGGTTAATCTCATTGCTAATACTGGACCACCATCCTTAAAAGCCTCAGGAGTAAACCTGTCAGGGCCTGCTGCCCTCCCTTGCTTCAGGTTTCCTGTGGCTTTTTCAACTTCGTAAAGAGACGGAGGACTTACATTAACTTGCCATTCAGGTTGACTGGAGATCGTGGGAAACCGAAGTGTGGCTGAAGGCCAGTTAAACTGATCCCTCAAGTGTTCTGCCCATCGATCCAATCTCCTGGATTGAGAATGTATAATATGTCCATCTTTCTCTGAGATTGTTTCTCTAACAGTCGGTTTCCTAATACCGGTTTCCTTAACAAGTCTGAACAATTGTCTGCAATTACCTATTGCCGCTGCCTTTTCCATCTCTCTTGCTTTCGCTACCCACCACTGTTCGCGATCATTGCGTAGACTTCTTGTCAGCTTGCGCTTAAGCTGACTCCGCTCTTCATTATGTTCAGAGCCAGGTGGAATGAGTTTCCGAGCATCTATCAGTGCGATAGATGCTGTTGAGATCCAGTGTTGCTCCCTAACCTTCTGGTTTACCTTACTAGCAGATATCACTGCTGTTTCCACAGCTTTTCGGATATCATTCCATGCTGCCTCGTGGTGGGCATCACATACATGGCTGCCTAACTGTTTTCCTAGTTGTTCCCGAAATATACTCTTAGCTTGACTACCATTAGGTAGGACCCTAAGAGGTTTCCTTGCGGCGTCTTTCCTACGTCCAGTAAGACGCAAGCAAATACGCGATCGCACTAGATCATGATCTGAATCTAAGCATGTGCTCCAGAATGAGCGACAGTCTTCTATCGAGCCCCTCCATCGGTGGCTGATAGCGATGTGATCTATTTGGGTCTAACGTTGGGACGAATTAGGGGGTAGCCATGTTAAAAGATGTTTTTCCTTATGCTTAAAGTTAGCATTTGCAAGGAACAGGCGGTTATCTGAGCATAGCTGCAACAGACGGTCGCCATTATCTGTTCTTTGAGCCACGACACCATAAGATCCACCCAGGTGTCTTTCCCTATCGCTTAGTTTACCTACTCGAGTATTAAAGTCACCAGCCATTATTACTACATCCGAGCGCCTAGCTTTTCGGAGAAGGTCGGAGAGCTTTCTGTAAAACTCATCTTTTACATCATCTGAGCTGCAGTCAGTGGGAGAATAGGCAGAGACGACGAAGAGGCAACGATGAGCGTCCTTATCTTTTCGGATCCTTACAGTTCCGTTTAGTCGGACAGTGCACAAACAACTGTCTACTGGGATCCACTCTAAGAGAGCTAGTTCTGCCCTAGGACTCAATGCTATACCTACGCCGGCGAGGCCACGGGAAGCAGAATCAGGGCTTCCAGATACACGAAGTGTGAACCGAGTCGGTTCTTTATTTTGGCATGGTGAGGTCAAATGAATGACGCTACTTGGATCCTGTATGCGCGTTTCGGAGACGCAGCACACATCGATGGCGCGAGATTCTAAAGTCCTAGCTAAGGAATCCTGCTGTCCTATTTGGTACAGTGTTCGGACGTTAAAAGCTCCTACGTGTAGTTTAGAGCGTGGTTTCAGGAGACCAGGAATAGCGTTCCGCGTACTCGAATCGTTTGCCCTAGCGGTGCGAGGTGATAAAAAGACGTGAGGAGGGTTAGTCATGGAGATAAGAGAGGTATTAGGTGTAGGAAGGATTGGAATGTGACCAACTTGGTCTCGTGTGCTGTTACTGGTATGAGGGCTGATATCACTTCCCGGCTGCCCACACCGTGGAAGGGTATTTCTTGAGGAACCTGATAAAGAAGTCGGATTAGTGTTGGTCTAAACGATCTGGAAGCGTGACCGCAGAGCCCAAGGGGCAACTGCTTGAGGCCGGTCGCGCACGGCCTTTTCGTGGAAGGTTTTTAATGTGTTAGCTCCGTTCTTCAAAGGGCCTTACCGCCGGAGACGAAAATCCGTGAGGTAAGGTGAGGTGTGACATTTTTAGGGTCGACCTTTTCTAACCCCATCTCTCTTTGTGGGAGGGCAGCATCGCTGTAGATGCTGGTTGTTTGAGGGAAACACCTTACTGCTGTCACAGCCCTCTACAGTCAGCAGTACGACTTAGCCCTCAGACCTTGAGTTGCTGCTTTTAGTCTTACCGTTCTCCAATCGACCTGCCTGGCATGGTCGAACCTACAGGAATATATGTTCCAGCCAATATAGCTCGGTTGGGTCATCGCGAAAGGCAAGCCCGACCACCTCGTCAAGGTAACAGCTTCGGTCGGGATCTTATTATGCTACGCCCATTGTTCTTGTTTTATTCAAGTTGAAAAGGGATCGGCAATAGGGTTTCATGATAGCTAGCAGTTGTGAGCGAGTCTGTGTTTTTTGTCATAAAATCACGTATATTCGTCTTTGGATTCAAATGTATTTTAGATAAATAAGTATTCTTCATAACTTCAAATCAAATGTTATCTTTTAATATTCCTGCAGTTCATTGAAACGAATTATGGATGAAGTATGTTTTTAGTTGTTATCGATCCATGTCATTCAACCGATTCCATAATTTATTATGGCACCAATCTACTCAATGATATCGAGATTTTATGGTTAAATTTATTCGTGCTAAACTTTAAATTAAAATTAGAAACTGTTGTTTGTGTAATATGACACTTTTTTGATGATTTTAATAATCTCTCACTTTGTCCTCAGTTTGCAAATGGGATAGGTATTATGTAGCTAGATTGACTTCATCGAATATAGCTTTAAGATGATCGATTTCATTGATCAAATACATCACAAAAACTATTCGACCAACCAGTAAGAGATAAGCAAACAGTAAGCGGAGTATAGAAGCATGCACTTATTAATGTGTAACTACACATGTGCGTAAATGCTACAGACATTACAAGACATGCTTAACTATTTTACAACCCACTGACTGTCATATAAAACCTCCAATGAATGTTAAAAGATATGCTATTAGAGCATGGTGTTTAACGGATGGGTAAACTTCAAAGTACTTAGAACAGTATTATATTTACTACGATATTCGATGTTATTTTCATGTTAAGTAATTGTACCTATTACGTAACGTTGATTTGCGGATTATTGACCAGTCAAGTTCCTTTTTACTTTAAACTTGTTTTAATTACCTGAAACACTTCGATATGTGTGAGAAAAAACGCTTCCGATGCTTATTAAATAAACTGAAATACAGTTTATCAGAAGGAAATATGAACAGTAACAACATAAGAAAATTTTAACTAATTTAATTCTTTTACTTTGCTTTTTCAGTGCTGTCATTGAACATAATCCATCAAGTCGTACACCAAGTGAAAAACAAGCCACTTCTCAATCATCATATAATAATTATTCTCGTGGTATTTCACAGCCAGAGAAGGAACCTTTAGCTCATGGCTATGGTAATTATCGAGATGGACGTTTGTAAAGGAATGAAAAACAAACTATTAGTAGTGAAGATGGTGCTGAGAATAGTGATCATTCCTCGTTTATCTTGTTTTTACCAAATTTTTTCCAGTTGTTTCATAAAATAAAAATTATCCCCACCCTACACATATATTTTTTCACTAATTAACAAGTATACTCATGTTTAATTTATGCTGAATGAAAACTGATTGTTTACGCTTCTCTTCTTTGAAAAATTGCGAGAATAGCAGAATATTAAAATTTTTAAAAATTCTATTGACATTTTTATTCCACACTTCTCATTCTATTCAACGTTCCAATTGATCTAGTTGATTTCTGATTAAAACAACAGAAAATGCCAATAGCAATATCATGCAACTCAAATAGATACATATGTTCGGACAGACTTAAACACTGGTAAAGATCAATTAGATGAAAAACTGATATGATAATTTAGATTATTGAACTGTATGTTATATGTATTCAATTATTTTATTGAATATCGATTGAAATAAGATTTGGTTGTAATGTTAATTGAAATTCGACCTATTTTATTACATTTTAGTCGTACTTTACACGAATAATTATTCTGTAAAATATAACATCTCTCTGTATATATATATATATATATATATATAAAGCAGAACTTCTAATTAGTTGTTCCCTCTTTTTCTCACATTTTATTGCTTACTTCGCATTACAGTCGGATCATTTTCATTGTTGACAGTGAAAGCAAGAATATGGACTTATCTCATTTTTTATGTTGTATTTGACTGCTTAATATCTGTTTTTCAAAAAAAGATGCCATAGAGACCATAAAATGATAAGACGAGCATATATACATGCATATGTAGCTTTTATGGATTGCCTCTCTGAGCAGGAAAGTGATTCTTCCCTGTTCTCCTGATTCTTTTTTTTCTTTGGGTGATTTTTAAATTTTGTTATAATTGCACCAATCAAGGATGAATATTTTGATGGGCTTTTAGTATTCACTGTTTTTATATAAATCTTGAGCAACTATGTCAATTGGAGTTAGTTTTTTATCACACATGTTTCATTCAGCATGTGATGAAAAGTTTGTGTTAAGGAGTAGGAATGGGATTTTGAGTACTTCAATTCTATTCATTAAGAAGTAAATTGTTGCACTTTGTTTAAAAAATTAATACAAGTTTGCTCACACCATTCACTTTCAATCATGCACCATATGTTAACGTCATTTTGATGATATGAGTTGTATCGAACATTCGACTGTTTGTTTTTTCAATTCCCCCCTTATCCACATGTAAAAATTTACCCACATTTTGGCGCCTTATTATTGTCCAGTGGGTCATTCTTTTAGCAAATGACTCAAATTTCTGTACGTTTACCTATCGATCCACTCTATTGAAATACGTGTTCAAACAATTATCAATTACTTTATTACAAACATCATTCAAACGAATATGTTTGAGAACAAAATGTTTCTAATATCCAGTCAGGCTTATTATCATTATGACTACCAACAATTATATTTCATTTAAACAAATAATAACGGAAACAATATTCTTTCTTGTTTATATCTGTTGTTTTCCTTGTTAATGTATCGAAATTTAGGTGCACGATGAAGAAAGCTTTCTATCAGCCATTCTACCCTCCTCTTTTTTGTTGTCGTTATAATCAATGTTATAGTTGTTGTTGACGCGTTCTTCTCATTTTTGTGAATTTTCACATGATTGTTTCATGTGGGTTAGTTGTTCGTTTGTTTGTTTGTTTTCTAGTGTCATTCTGACGATACGGTTATATTATTATTTCCAAAAAAATAATTTAGAATAAAAAACATTGGCAGTTCACTTTACTTTGAGTATCAATTTAAGATTCAAAATTCAATGAAGTCTAATGGTTTCTGATAGAAGTAACAAGATCACTTACTGATCGGTTTAAGGTGACAAAAACATGAAGTCATGAATTTATCCGTTGTTTAAATGTTATCAGTTTTATATTTCATGAAGAAGGACTAGTGATAAGGCTAGGTTGATTAGATAAATCAGTAAGATAAACATTGATTCAATAATAATAATAATTTAAAACACAGAACAAGAAATAGATAGATAGTTGTTGGTGAAACAAAATTAAGTTAGCACTGCTTACCTATCAGTTATTAGCTTTAAGATCCATCACACTGAAATCTGGTTGGAAACTTTGAAATGTGTGGATAGGTGAGGCTGAGAAATAAAGCATCTTGTTAATGGCATTAAATTGAAATTGAATACGTAATTTACCCGATTGTAATTTAATCTCCTAATCACATCCTACTTGATATAAAATGTGAAGGTTTAGTATTTGACTCTTCGTGGAGTTTCATTTGAACTAAGCAGTAATGATATCACCTAGAACAATATTAGAACTTCCCAGTTACGCCTATCTCCACTGAAAGTCATAATTATCTACAAAGGTGTGTTGCTGAAGTAATATTTTTTAAACATAAACATCATGACCCTCGAAACAGAGTGGTGATATTGAATCAGGTTGAAAAATTAAGTTGCATGCTATAATTGACCTGTGGAATCAGATAAATTTTCAGAATAAAGATCATATATAGAAAAGGTTCAGATAAGGTGAGAACTTAAAATTGAAGTCATAATCCTTACAAATTATGTAATAATTTGGGGGTTAGAAAAGAATAGAAGGACGAAAGTAATTTACAGGTCAGAATTATGGAAGATAATTGTCCCCTTGATAGATATGAAGAAAAAGTAGAAAACATAAAGGTCATAATAGTAACTGAATAGTAATCATGAGAAATTGTTAAAGGATGATAATTAAAATTACAAACCATGAACTAAAAAATCAGGACCAAAACATACTACAGAAAGGAATTAGGTCCAAGGAAGGATGAAAGGTTGGACGTATCGTTTTTACACACAGAGTTCGGTCTTGAATTTATGGATCACCAACGCCTTAGCAGTGAATAATTTTTTGATTTGACCTCCTTTTTGATCTAGTTCTTTGATTTTGTAGATTACTTTAAAAGAAGTCTCCTTCGGAGTGACGTGTCCAGAAATAGTTAAGTGCTCCTGTATCGAACTGGTGACATTTACAATCTCGTTTCGAAACTACTCTGGGTAAGGTTCTGAGACGCTTTTGGAAGGTGATCGCTTTGTGCGGCCAATGTAACCTACCCCACAAGAGCAAGTAAATTTATAGATGCACATTGACGTGGCTCAAAGCGGGAGTTTATCCTTAATACATCCGTGAATGGTAGGCTGGCTTGAGAAAATAATACAGAGCTTGTCTGAATGGAACGTTTTATTCAGGAATTTTGAAGTCCGTTTATTCAAGATTTCAGCAGCCGTATCTTATTTAAATTCAATATTCATAAATATAGTTTTCTTTTGAACTGTCAGTACTTTTCCAGAATGTCTTGATATTAAGTTACTATCGGAAAATCTAGGTAGATAACCATTTCTGATGAGTATCTGTTGAAGTTTAACTAGTTCGTCATCTATTGTGTCAAGAGAACATATTTGCCTAATCCTTGAAGGTAAAGAGTGAATTGAGTTTCTCTTCCTACTCAATGAGACCCAACTATGGAAATTCGTGTGCTGACATTCAAGGTCGGTTTTCCACATGTAGGTCTCTATAAAGAATCATCTGATCTTTTCAACCGGACATCAAGAAAATGAAATTCCTGAAGCAGAGGCTTCATTATGAATTGAGTGATGACAATTATCGAATCGATTCAAAATTTCATTGAGGTTCATATTTTTCTCACAAATAATGAAATTATTGTCCGCATCTCTTAAATGAATGAAACCTCTTAATTATTGGTCGAAGTACCTCATTGTCCAGATCGACCATGAACCAATCGCCGAAGAGGGGACTCAGTGGTGAACCCATTGCAACTCCGTCAGTTTTTTTATTTGAATCATCAATAAATCTGAATGGCACATTGAGAGGACATCGTAGAAATAGCTCTTTTAGATAATGTTTTGATATACAAATATCAAAGTTGTTATTTTAAATAAAGTCATATACAAATATATAGTTTCTGTGAGTGGAACATTTGTAAAGAGAGAAGTGACATCCAATGAGATCATTTTTCTACCATTTACATCGATGTTTATAGTTGGGTCAACAAAATCAAATGAATCACGGGAGTTGGGACTGTTGATATGATTCCTGATGGGTTGTAAAATGTTAGTTAACCATCTTGCAATCAAATGATATATTTGACCCTGAATGTGTTATGCTGTGTGTAGTTTTTTTCTGTTTTCGACTTTTCACCTCTACTCATCTAACAATATACTTTGGTTGCTAATCGAATAGCTCACACACACAGAAACTGCATTCTCGAGACAAGTTGATACTCAAGTTTTCCCTGATACAAGCGAATCCCTCAGTTCCGTCTGTTATCCTATCGAACTTGAATGTCACTCAGAGGAATATCATATATAGATTAAAATGTTAGTAGTACTGAATGGCTTCCTTTTATTTTCTAATCAGAAAACTTCAGTTGCTTAAGTAATATCTAATTACTACTAATAGGTTGGGTATTTATAATTTAGTTTTGATCAAGTGAAGACAACAGTTAGTTTTACGATTGAAGTAAATCAGTGTTACATAGCTAATCGTATCTAAGTTCATTAAATGTTTGATAAATTTGTATTATTTAAAAGTTGATATAAAATGATTAACATTATCATCCCATTATATCAAATACCAATTGATTACATATATATATATATAGACTAAGAAAACTTTAATGTTTTAGTAAATATACGTAAATCTGGAGTACTTTAAATTCATACAGTATGTGATTATCATTCGTGTGAACTAAATAATGTTTATAATCCTGATTAGTACTAATAGAATGTAACAACAAAGAAAAGATTTATAAACGGATTGTTTATTTTTAATAAATATTTAATAGATTAAAGACATTTATGGAACGACTATATTATTTCAATTTAATTAACCACAAGCTGGGGTTGAGAACTAGTACCAATAGTAGTATTCAGCACTCACTCTAGGATGAACAAAACT